AGTGGTAAAATTCCATATAAATATTCAATACTTAAACGGGCACAGTAAAGACATTAAATATACATATACATACTGTATACAGTACAGTTTGCATACAGTAATATGTTTATGTTCCTAAATCAATCTCTTTGATGAGCATGTGAAAGGCATGGTTAATCAGAGATTCTAAAAAATTACTTGCGTGATTGGAAACAAATGCGATATTGCTAAATGCTGTGGTGTTACTTTTACAAAGACGGTCAATGAAAAAAAGAATATGGACCAGGGCAATACTTTGAGTTTAAAGCTTGTCCAAGGTCATTCATTATTAATACTATTAGTAATATCTTCGTTAAAGACTTTGATGGCAACAGTGCAAACATGAGAGGTTGAGCTTCATTAGCTCCACCTTGCAGAAATTCTGGATACTATTATTTTACTTGCAGTACTATAGGAGAATTTACGGTAACTCGCGGTAGACTGCGTAAAGCGCACCGCAAAATAATGCGGTATCGCCTGCTTGTTTTGAATGGCTGAATCTGTACAACATTTTTACAACAATAACGCTAGCAAGTATTAAAAGCTATAATGTTTTATCTTTTTCTAAGATAAAACATTATAGCTTTTTTAAAGTATATAAACTTAATATAGTCCGAATGAGCGCGTAAAATGTTTTCCAAAATAACCACAGCAAGTGACAAAGTTACAGGTTTTGATGCATAAAACTTTTATGAAGAAGGTGGAATACTGTTGTGTATTTTTTATTTTTAGCTACCACTACCAACCGTATAAATATGTACAATATATTTACTGTATATTCCTAAATTAATATTGTTTATGACATTCAGGACGTTATGCTGCTTTTATTGTCAACCACCACAATTTCCCTTTAGAATATTAATATTCCATATTAAGTGGATTTAAAAATAAACAGATGATATTTCACTAACGTCTATCGCTCCACAAATGCCATATATTGATTGTCTTTGGCCTATGAATCACATAACTTACCACAACAAATGACACATTCTGAATGGCTGCATCTGTACTCTTAGAACTTGCCTGGTGGTGCTTATATGCAGAAATTGCTCTTATGGAAAGAAGAAGATTTTTTGCTAAAGCAAAACCTAGCAAAATATAGAAGTAGCCTTTTCCTATACTAGAAACTCATTTATTTACCCACTTTTTCCTTGCCTTAATGTGAGATTTTCAATTTTTTACTTTTTCTGACATTTTTTTTGTGCTGTTTGGCAAATCATTAAAAATGTTTAAATGCCATCTGGGTATTCTTTGTAAAATGAAGTAAATATTCTCAAAAACTCACCAACAATAATGGAATTGATTTTGCCTTTTATCTGTAGTGTGGAATTACTGCACTTGAAGATGTATATCACCTGTTTCAGCTCAGTTTCAGATATGACAAGATCATTTGACCCATCCTGGTATTCCTAAAAAGAAAAAAAGAATGGAAAATAATTAACTTCATCTGGCCCATGTGTTCAACAGTGAGATAAATGTGCACATGGTTGCTTCACTATAATTGAAGATATTCAGTAAAGCATGTTGATCATTCAGATCATTTACAAAAGAAATTCTAAAAACCAAACTCTACCTAGCAAGAAAAGTCTGAAATTTAGCAATAGCTTAGTGAAAGCAGTGAAATGACTTCAATGAGCACCAAGTGCAAGGATATAAACTCTAAACCCTGCCTCTTCCCCCTGTGCAATGCAAGATGCCTTTTCAGCCCAAGCTGAGTCAGTATTTAAACTCACACCAGATGTCAGACAACAGATGCAGTCTGCCTGACCACAGGAGTTCATGAGATGAAAACGGGGGGGGTTGTTGTGTTAATCACATATTTTTGAAAGATCAGAGTTTGTGTTTATCAAAACAAAGTTACACAACAGTTTACAAAATTACACATTTATTTGTAATACATTACAAATTTATTCCCCCCCCC